GTGTGTGTGTGTGTGTGTGTGTGTGTGTGTGTGTGTGTGTGTGCTGGTGTGCTTACAGAAGCGTGGGAGAACGGGGTGTGTTGCTTTCCCCTCGCATTGTGCTGCCGTCTGTTGGCTTTCACCACAAAATGTAACTTTCGACTTGTAGCTCTGGATGCCCTGAGACTGAAAAGTGGCAGCAAGGGGCTCCTTAAAAAAAGAAAAAAACGTGTCACATTTGCTATGAGCTGGAGAGTGTCTGCCTCCTCCCTGTGTCAAATTGTGACAGACTGATGTCTGCAGGAGCTGCCTGTCCACAGAGGGACAGGGGTGGAGGGTGTGCAGGGGGCACCAGGCAAACTGTCAGATGCTTTTTCATTGCCCCTCAGCACTGTCACTTGAGCTAGAAGGAAGATGGAAGAGATGGAGGGGAATAGTATCTTTTTGTATTTTAAAGGGAGGACGGCAGCACAATGGCTCAGTTTAGCACTGATGCCTCACAGCAAGACGGTTCGACCCCCGGTTCGGTCTGTCGTTGTGGAGTTAGCACGTTTTCGTGCTTGTGTGGGTTTTCTCCGGGTATTCCAGTTTCCTCCCACAGACCAAAACGTTAGGTTGCCTTCAGGCCCAGGCCTCCCTTGCAACATACAGTAGATCTGTAATCTCAATGAGTTTTGCCTGGTTAAATAAAGGTAAATAAATAAAAACAATGCCAGATTGCGGCAAAATGGGAATTTCATTTGTACAACAAGGACTTCACAACACAAGCAAAAGGCTTGCATATATTCATCAAGCTTGTTTAGGATCACTCTGAAGATGGAGCTATATTCAAAAATAAACACTAAGTAGGTCCTCTGGATGGGTTCTTTAGTGAAACGCTTCGTCTCTCCTCCAAGAGACTTCTTTAGTCTGATGAGTTTCAGGTGAACTCAGCCTTATAAGCACTGCCTCCACATGATGGACAAACAGGTTAGTCACATGCAAAAGAGGACCATCGCCTAACAATAGGCTTGATTACCTCTATTGTTCATAGAGGGTCATGTGCCCCATCACCTGACTTTTTGGTTTGGATGCTGTGGTTATTAGGTGTCATGTCGTGTATGTATTGAATGCAGGTGGGGCTCAAAGTCCACAATAGTCCTCAGTTTAACAATAGTGCTAATCAAGCCTATTGTTAAGCGATGGCCCTCTTTTGCATGTGACTAACCTGTTTGTCAACCATGTGGAGGCAGTGCTTATAAGGCTGAGTTCACCTGAAACTCATCAGACTGAAGAAGTCTCTTGGAGGAGAGACGAAACGTTTCACCAAAAAGGAACCCATTCAGAGGACCTACTTATTTTTTCTTTTTGATTTTTTTCTACCTGGATTACTGAGATGTATCAGTACATGGAGCTATATTGTTGTTGTCCATGGTGATGGTAGGACAGAACGGAAGATGGATCAATAGATTGGGGCCTCATCCTCAGTAATGAGGGCGATGCTTCGGCCAATCATGAAGAAAGATCCAATTAAGCTCAATTTACAGGTCTGTCTATGTTCCAACCCTCACCAATGGTCATGAGGAGTGGATCATGATCAAGGGAACAAGATCCTGAATACAATAACTGAAATGAGCTTCCTTTTGTAGGGTGGCCGGGCTCAGTATTAGAGATCGGCTGAAGAGTTCCATCATCTGGGGGAGTTCAGAGTAGAGCCACTGCTCCTCCGCATCGAAAGGAATCAGTTGAGGTGGTTCTGGCATCTGATTAGGACACCTCCCTTTAGGGGTATGTTTGGCACGTCCCACTGATAGGAGGATCATAATTTTCCTTTGGGATCAATGACCTGGGGAAGACCCAGGACTTGCTGTCGAGATTATGAATCCTCTCTGGCTTGGGAACACCTCCAAGTCTCCCAGGATGAGCTGGAAAGTCTCAGTGGGTAGAGGTATGTCTGGGTTTCACCCCTGAACCTGTTGCCTCCATGACCTGACTACGGATACAATAAGGTGGAAATTAGTTTTAATGCACAGATGGCTCAGTGGTCAGCACCGATGCCTCACAGCAAGAAGGTCCTGGGTTTGATCCCCGGTTTGGACCTGGAATCTTTCTGTGAGGAGTTTGCATCTTCTCCTCATGCTTGCGTTTTGTCCAGATACTCCGGTTTCCCCCTCAGCACAAAAATACGTACAGTAGGTTGCCTTCAGGCCCAGGCCTCCCTTGCAAAAGAGATCTGTGATCTCAGTGGGATTTGCCTGGTTAAATAACAATATAATAAAATAAATGATTTTTGCTTACCCCAGGGGGTGTCAAACTCAGGTCCTGGAGCTGCCAGTTCTACATGCTGTCCTTGTTTCTCTGCTCCAGAACACCTGATTCAGTGGTTCAATTACCTCTTCAAATACTATAGAAGCCTATTAATCAGCCATTCATTCAAATCAGGTGTGTTCAACACCTGTGCCTTGTACAGTAGGCCATTCAGGTTGGTGAACAGGCGAGGAAATTACGAATGGACACAAACTAGGATGTAATATTTTTTTGTTTGCCCCATATCATAAATCTCTCTTTTTCTGTCTGCATTCTCCCTTCATCCACAGACTGTTTTGTCTGAAGTAACCCTCCACCGCCTCACCACTTCATCCTATTCATGTTTCTTTTTCCCTTCCTGACCAGCCAGCGTCTCCCTGAGGGAGTTTGCTTTAGACGAACACTCTTTGTGTGACCTCGATCTTCCCTTTCACACCGGCTTTTTGTTGCCTGTTGCTTCTCTTTCGACCTGCTCTCACTCGTCAAAATGGAGGCAACGAGATTAGGCTTTGCAAACTCAATTTCCGTGACAATTGAAAAGTTTTGTAAAAATTTACTCAAATGAAATTTGTGAATTTGTTTGCTCTTGACACCCTCCCTACTCTCAGGAACATGAAGGATTACATATACTGTATACAGTTGAGTTTGAGTTGCTTTTTTCTTTTTGAGTTTAATAGTTTATTCACTTTGATTAAAAACAAAAATTTCAGTACAACAAAAAAAGAAACAATTCTCATAAAATGAAAGGAAGCAAAAGAAGAAAAGAATCTTAAAACATCTGCCCCTATTTAACAAAAAAAAGAATAAAAATAAATATATATCCACATTTATATGTGTACACATACACACATTCATATATACGTACATATACACATGCACATATATAATTTTACACCCTCATCAGCGTAACAAAAAAAACTTTTTGATTAACCCCTCAAACATCAACTTCATATTTTTTCAATAATTTAACTTTTATCATTTTACCAAATAAATTAATTGAGTCAGCATTTTTATAATCCCTATCCAAGTTATTCCACAATCTTATTCCTTGAACTGAGGTACATCTATCCTTCAAGTTTGTTCGAATTTTAGGTTTTATAAACATTTCAAATCCTTTCAAATTATAACAACTTTCCCTCTTAACAAAATTTGATTGAATATTCAAAGGTAATCAACAAAATCTTATAATCAACCAACTCAAAAAATTTTAGTAATTTCAATTGCTGAAACGATACATTAGATGGGTGACTATAATGTTTTCTGGTAACAATTCTTATAGCTCTTCTTTGCAGAATAAGAATAGAATTTGTAAATGTTTTACATGCCTTACCCCAAATTTCAACACAATAAATCAAATGTGGATCAATTATTGTCTTATATAATATAAAAAGTGCTTTATCATCAAACAACTCCTTTATCTTATGTAGTACTGCAATAGATTTTGCTATTTTTGTTCTTAAGTAATTTATATGAGGCTTCCAGGTCAGGTTTTCATCAATAATAACACCCAGTTATCATTAGATACATTGTAAATCAATCTGTAGTTCAACACCCAGTACACACTTATGAAGGAATTCTTTGCCCAGG